TTTTTGTATTTTTTAGTAGAGACAGGGTTTCACCGTGTTAGCCAGGTTGGTCTCGATTTCCTGACCTCGTGATCCGCCCGTCTCGGCCTCCCAAGGTGCTGGGATTACAGGCTTGAGCCACCGCGCCCGGCCAATGTTTTGTGTTCTTTAGCATTTACTTTCTGTAAGATTTTATTTCTCTTCGGCTGCATTTCTTTAGGTATTCCGGGAGAGATGCATACATTGCATGCATGTGCGTGAATATGCATTATTACTTAGGATTTTAGCCTGGTCTTAGCAGGTTGAAAAATGAAAAATGTGACTTACCGTGATGTTGTAAGTCGGAACAGTGAGTCAGTGGGTCTCCATTTCTTATATCTTGTCGTCTTGTGCGTCTGAAACAATTGCATTTAAAAGGTCTTATTGCATCCTTATTTTTCCATTTTAGGAATTTGTCATAAGAATGAAGAAAAATTTAAAAAATATAGATATCATAGACTCTAGGAACTTACAGGAAGAGATGAATCTACATCCAACCAAAAGACTTTTTTTTTTTTAAACAGTTCATTATACCTGTAAGAGCAGTCTCCAAGATAATCAAAATGGGAAACAAGATCCAAATGTACTAACAACATATTAAAAGTCTTTAAAATAGTGATAACAGAGAATTCATGGCTTTTTCATGACCAGATGTCAATCAATAACAATCTAATGTCTAGAAACTCAAGGCTTAACTTCTGTGGAAAAAGCACAACATTTGAAATAATAATCAATTTTTTTCAATAAAAGGAATTAAACTTTTTCTGATTATTAATGAAGAAATAAGCTTGAAAATTATAATTCACATGAATATTCTCTTTCTCTGAATGCTTATACATAATTCCTTAAATAGACTTTTGTTGAATTTTATAATATTAAGACTAGAAATTATATTTTTAAGCTAGTTTTAAAATTTCTTTTCTTGGTTGTTATATCGACCTGTTCTTTTTTAAAACCGTTTCTTTTATGATCATACAGCTATGATTGCAAACCAATTTAACTGTGAAGTGAATAAAAACAACAATAAATGTTGAACTTAAAGGCAAGGCCTCCTCTTGCCAGAGGAATGAAAGAGAGAATAAATGAACTTACATTTAAGAGAAAAGCAAAGTTTGCTTATAAAAAACAATTTCTTCTACATTCTACCCTCAGATCACATGTGAGCTGCAGCACATCGTGAGTTTCCTTTCTCTATGTTTTGCTAATGGTTGCCTGGGAAGGAGGAGGTAGGCTCTAGTCATTGTGGTGCAAAAAAGATGTGAAGTTCCAGGAAGAGGCTAAAAATGGAGACTGGCTATGTGTAACAGACTGGAAAAGATTGGGGGACACTTGCCCAACTGTTTGCTGCTGCTATTTTAATGGGTATTGTTTTGCTGCAAAATTAGTTACCATCCCTAAAAAGAGCTCTCACAAAGTCCACTGAGAATTGCAAATATGGAATTTGTTACTGTATTCATAAATTTAGAGGTCTAAAGTATTTATAGATTTCTATTTGTAGAATTAGTGAAACAATCAAACAGATGTTGCACATTTCAAAATTGAGCCAACAAGAGAACTTGTGAAACACAAACCACAAAGCATTTGGGAAGGCATTTTTCACTGCCATTTAAGCTTTTGAAAAATGCCATCACAAAGAATATATAAATCATGAGGCTTCTAAACATCCTTTTTAAAGACAGAGTGTCACTCATGAAATTGGATTAAGTAAAATCTGTAAGGCATAACAAAAATGTGCTAATGAAAATTCCTTCAATCTTGAATTGTAGGTATACAATAAATACTTTTTAAATATGTAATAACATATAGGTTTTAACTTATTATAGATGTGTTTATGATTTTCTTTTTATCTCTTTCCTTATTAAGAAAAGCTTAAAATTCAAAGAGATTATTACTAAATTATATAATATTATAAACTTTCTCATGAAGAAGAAATAATACTCATTTTAGTTCAAACACGAATTCCACTTTTTTTTTTTTCCGAAACAGTCTTGCTCTGTTGCCCAGGCTGGAGTGTGCAGTGATGCAATCTCAGTTCACTCCAACCTCTGCCTCCAAGTTCAAGCAATTATTCTGCCTCAGCCTCCCAAATAGCTGGGATTACAGGCACCCGCCACCACATATGGCTAATTTTTGTATTTTTAGTAGAGACAGGGTTTCACCATGCTGGCCAGGTTGGTCTCAAACTCCTGACATTGTGACCCGCCTGCCTCGGCCTCCCAAAGTGCTGGGATTACAGGTGTGAGCCACGACGTCAGACTGAATTCCACATTTTTAAATAAAATAAAAGCCACCTAGAGTAAAACGTTTTTGAGAAGCATTAACTTTTAATCTTAAAAAATTTAATTTCACTGCTGTAAAGACTGCATATCACTACTCCTTAAATTACCTACAGTTTCTTTAATCAACAGACATTATCTCCACAGTAAGTTTTATTTTAAATTTGAAATTTCAACAAAATGAATGTTTATATAAAAGTAATACAAACATGTTACCTCAATTCTGAATGTTGAAGGTTTAATAATTGTATTTCTTATATGACATAATACTGCCTATAGATTTAATATTATTAACAGGATACTGTGTTTTAATCCATTGGACTGATTATGTAACAGACTAAATTGTAGATTTTTCTACACTCAGTCAATGTTATCTAAAGTGTGTAATCAGAAGATTTAAGTAGGCATTAGGGCCATTTCTTTGGTCAAATATTTTACCAAATATTCAAGCTGATACAAATGTTGTAGGACATACTTAATTAGCTATGAAAATCTACATTCATGACTTCTTTGAATAAAATAGCTATAATAAACAATAAATAAATCAAATTATATTGCTTCTAAATGCAGAGGTTTCATAAAGCTGGTTTTCATTTTATGTTTCAATAGGTTGATATACATGCTGTTAATCTTTGGGCTCATATTAACGAGATACTGTATGTTAATTTCGTCCACCATTCTCATTTCCTAAACCCTGCTAAATAATGATAGAGAAAGACATCCTTCAGTGAGTAGTAAAGGATACGCTGTTGAAAGGGCTATTTTGTCAAATGAAGGCAAATAAAGGAAGAGTTATCTTAGCAACTTTTATTCAATCACGTCCAAAAAATACTTTTAAGTATTATCAAGAGTATATTTAAGAGATATATATGTGTATATATATGCCGGGCACGGTGGCACACGACGTAATCCCTGTAATCCTTCCCAAAGGCTAAGGCGGGTGGATCACGAGGTCAGGAGATCGAGACCATCCTGGCCAATATGGTAAAACCCTGTTTCTACTAAAAATACAAAAATTAGCTGGGCGTGGTGGTGCATGCCTATAGTCCCAGCTACTTGGGAGGATGAGACAGGAGAATTGCTTGAACCTGGGAGGCAGAAGTTGCAGTGATCCGAAATCGTGCCACTACACTCCAGCCTGGTAACAGAGCGAGACTCCATCTCAAAAATAATAATAATAATAACAACATATATATATGTATATGTGTGTATACATATATTATGTGTGTATGTATATACATATATACATATATGCATACATATATACATATATGCATACATATATACATATATACATACATATATACATATATACATATATGCATACATATATACATATATATTGCATATGCACAGATATTTTATTACATGGTTTTATGTTTGAAGTTCAAACACTGCAAATGCAAGGTGATACTATAATAATATAATACTTAAATTTTCTTGAAACAAATAGACGTATTTGGGGATGTTAATCAAAATTACATATATCACATATTAAAATGTAATATTTTTTAAAGTAGAAATAAATTATTCTGGACTTTTTATAGTTAGACACCTGTGTATTACCTAAGACTATAAAAGAAAATAAATTCCTTTCTCTGATCATTTTCTGTTCATCCAGAGACATAAATTGCCTTATTAAAGTTTAAAAATGAGACAGAATGTTGCTGGATAGAAATAGAAGAACATGTTTGGAAAACAGAGTGTGTTGGTCTAAAGGGACAAGGCTCCGTCTAGATTCCGTTCATGACTTTCTCTGTGACTTTTTTCCTGATTGTTTTAACTATTTGAAGAAAAGAGAAAAAAACAAAACAAGCCCCTCCCTCTGCCCTCACATCTTTTTATTCATTAGAAAAAGTTGATGCACTTATTTGAAGAAAGCTATTTCAAGCTTGGAATCAGATAGGATAACTAGCAAACATTTCATTTATTTTGAATATTGTTCCTACCTCTTTGCAGTGGGAAAATAGCGAGAGCATGAAGAACCATCCCAAGCACAGTAAGGGTCTCGGGCGAGGCAACACTCAGCACAGGCTTTCCCGTAAATATCACACCGGTGTAAAGGGAGCTGGGCAACCCCAGCTGTTGAACCAATATATAGTTGTTGCTGTGGAAAGAATTTACTGTTGTGACAAAAATTATCTTGTTTTTTGAATCTCTTTTTCTCTTCAAAAAGAGTTTATTTATATATAACTTCTCAGAGATAAATTAAGGGTTTAAAAAATCATCCCTTTATTGATAATTTCTTTAAAGGCCTGCTAGACAAGATGGCAGTTTAAAATAGAGCAAGAGCAAGTTCTAAATATTTGACTGAAACAGATGTCTTTTATTAAGTGTAAAACAAAGGGAAGATGAAGACAGTAATATACCAACCAATGTAATGTTCAAAGCTACAGTTTTGTCTTTGCAAGTTTGCTTTTTTTACCTTTACTGTTTATAATACTCATACACCAAAATGTCTTTATTACCATGTGTTCCATATTGGCCAGAGGCAGGAATCATTGCTGCTGACTTCTCAGTACCCTATTGTATTGCCTGTGATGGACCGTGCCCTTTCCTATGATATGGGAAGGGGCAAAATTTTGGTGCTTACATTTGAAAAAACTTTGGGCTCAACCCCAAGAACTGTCTTGCCTTGCACTACCTCCAGGAAGATTACTTTTAAAAAGACAACTAAATAACTACCCTTCAAAAACATCTTTCAAAAGAGGAACTAAGTGCACTCTGGTGCAGTCTGCCAAACCAAAAGCTGAGGTGTTTGGAAGAAGCATAGGATGGAGCATGAAGGTACCTGGATTCTAGATCTCGCTGCCCATTAACGCCCTGTATGATCTTGAGCTAATCATATAATTTTTCTAAGAATTAACTTCCTTATTATGAGCATGTTTAACAGGTCTTTAAAGTATGCATTCAGATAAACATTCTACAATACATTTATTCTCAATTAAATTGGTGGTATTGAAAGAACCAGAATATGGAAGATTTAAAAAATTGTTTTTCTACTAATTCAAGATTTCAGTACAAGTTTTAAAATGCCTTTAACAAAGTTGAGCCAATGTAGCATATTAGCTGCAAATTTATGTAAGCACAAAATGAAATAAAATTATTTTGCAATTTCTCCACATTGGTACCATAGCTCTCTTTTCTTGCACTAGAGGATTCAATCATTGTAGTAAGCCTTAAATAAAACTTAAATAAATACTGAAACATGTAATGGTATACATTGAAAAGAGATCAAAAGTGTATTTTAGTTTCTCTAAATAAGTTTAGTTTCTCTAAATAAAAAATAAGTTTTAGAAAAGTCGGTCTCTGAACAATGATATGCTTTTTTAATACTACACATTTTCTAATAGTTAGCAATGAACATAAATAAAATTGCATTTCCAAAGACATTCATTTATAAACTGCATGTATAAGTAACCAGATAAATTGAATGCAGACTGAACTGAAGTACCTATGATAATCTAAGAAAATATTAAGGTTATAGGGAGTGTTTACATAGAAAATACTTCTCTGCTTAAATCTCACCAACTAACTTATACCTTATTACAAGCAAAGTAAATAAGGGGAAATGTAATACAATAAAATCTAAACCATTGTGGAAATATTTATCTTCATTAATATTATTATTCCATTTCACTACATGGAAAAATGAAATTACAGTGTATATTACTAAGTGCTCAATTTTTTGCTATATTCAACTTTTATTATAGTATTGAATTTTGCTATAAACCAGGACAAATTAGGAAATGATGGTTAAATTCTTTGGGCAAAATAGATTAAGTGTTGTTAAGCTTTCCTTCTCCCTTTCCTTCTTTCTTTCTTTCCTTCCTTCTTTCTTTCTTTCTTTCTTTCTTTCTTTCTTTCTTTCTTTCTTTCTTTCTTTCTTTCTTTCTTTCCTTCTTTCCTTCTTTCCTTCTTTC